CAACCACCCCTGGCATAGTGGAAACCCCAGGCGTAATGAACCCACCCAGGCGTAGTGAACCCACCCAGGCGTCGTGGGCCAACCAACCTACCCAGGCGTCGAGGGAGCCCACCCTCCACCCTCCTCCCCGGCGTCGGTAATGCGTCCCTTCATATTTACGACAGGATATTTTTCATCTGAGAAGACCAAATGACCTTTCCCACTCGCCATATTCTTCAGCTAATATATTCTCTGCTGCCAAGGGAAGGCCCTCGCCAAGTGTGGGGAAAACGAGGGATAGGAAGGAGGGATAGGTTGGGGGTGGTGTGGGGGGGGGGATGGGGCGGGGAGTGGCCCCGTAGGGAGCGCTGGCGGTGAAACAAAGGCTCCTTACCTTAGTTTCCCACCTAAACGACGAGGAAGATTTGCGGCCCGCCACCGGCCCCCTCGCGTTACTTATTCCCTTATTACCCCGGTGTTGCGAGCTCGCTCAGGTGCCCCCTGTGTCAAGGTATCGACTGATAGTGCTCACAGCCTCCCCAGGCAATCCCCCTTCTCCCCAGGCACTCCCTCTTCTCCCCCAGCACTCCCCCTTCTCCCCAGGCACCGGCCCCCCTCCATCTCTCCCCAGCTCCTCCCCTCTCGCATCACACCTCATTAACCTCCTCCCCTTAGTTAATCCTCGTTACACCGCTTCACTCCTCAGCTCAATCCCATCCCACTCCTCACAACACCGTTTTGATTTCTTCGCGCCAAACCCTTATAACACCAGAACCCCCAACGCCCCTGCCCCCACCCTTTTCTACTTGGCATAGCAATGCCCTCATCCTATTCCATCTGGCTCAGCCAAGCCCCTCACCCAATTCGACCCGACCTAGACAAGCCGCACCCTATTCCATCTGGCCTAGACAAGTCCCCTGCCCTATTCCACCTAGCCTAAACATGCTCCAATCTTAGTTCGTTTCGTTCCAACTACTAGTTTTGCCCGATCCCCCCCCTCCTCCTTTCGCTTCTGGAACACCATAATCCGATGAATGGCGGGCGAAGAGTTCGTTGGGCAACGAACTCCTCGCCCCTCCGGGTCTGACTCTTCCTAATGGCGAGCTGAGACGAGATTTTAAACCTACTCCTCCCACCCATCGCACTATACTCACACCAAACCCTCTTGCCCCCCCCCAAAAAAAAACCTCCCTCGATCCCCCACCCCCGCCCCAACCCCCCAGTCCCACTATCCTCCCTACCCCCCCTCTCGCCACCACCTATCCCTAGACTTGCGATGCTCTTTGGCTTCCTGCTTTTTCTCGACTCACTAACTTTGGCCCCTATTCCTTCAGAGCCCTTCCGTGACCCTGGAAGCTTTCACTAGAGGTCCTCACACACCCCAACCTCTTCCCTATGGCCCATGCTTCCCTATGGCCCATGGCCCTGGCTGGTGCTTACGTTATGGCCCTCCTGCGGTGCCCAGCTGACGCCCGGCCACACAAAATAGCAGGCATTCATATTTTTTCCCCTTAGACTGGGAAAGAGTATATTGTTGGCCTGTTGAGAGGTGAATTATAGATGAAACTGATCAGCCCGGCAGCTTCTGTTGCTCTTTCTCTTCTCTTCCCGCACCCTAGAGTGTGGCTCTCTCTCCTCCCTCCACACCCTAGAGTGTGGCTCTCTCTCCTCCCTCCACACCCTAGAGTGTGGCTCTCTCTCCTCCCTCCACACCCTAGAGTGTGGCTCTCTTTCCTCCCTCCACACCCTAGAGTGTGGCTCTCTCTCCTCCCTCCACACCCTAGAGTGTGGATCTCTCTCCTCCCTCCACACCCTAGAGTGTGGATCTCTCTCCTCCCTCCACACCCTAGAGTGTGGCTCTCTCTCCTCCCTCCACACCCTAGAGTGTGGCTCTCTCTCCTCCCTCCACACCCTAGAGTGTGGATCTCTCTTCTCCCTCCACACCCTAGAGTGTGGCTCTCTCTCCTCCCTCCACACCCTAGAGTGTGGATCTCTCTTCTCCCTCCACACCCTAGAGTGTGGATCTCTCTCCTCCCTCCACACCCTAGAGTGTGGCTCTCTCTCCTCCCTCCACACCCTAGAGTGTGGCTCTCTCTTCTCCCTCCACACCCTAGAGTGTGGCTCTCTCTCCTCCCTCCACACCCTAGAGTGTGGCTCTCTCTCCTCCCTCCACACCCTAGAGTGTGGCTCTCTCTTCTCCCTCCACACTGTAACGTATCGGAAATTAAAAGAAAATAAGAAGAAAAGGAATGGAGAAAACTCCTAGGGTGAGGGAGGTAGAGAGATGGAAGGGGTGAGGAAGAGTGGTCAGGAGAAACGGAAAGTTTGTACATGAGAGGGAGATGGGAGGAGAAGGAAAGAGGTAGAAAGGAGGAAAGTGTTAGAAAGTACAGTAGAAGAGTAGAAAGAAGTAAAGAAAATGCTGCCACCATCCATTCAATAGTTATCTTGAGATGACTTTGGGGCTTAGTGTCCCCGCGGCCCGGTCCTCGACCAGGCCTCCACCCCCAGGAAGCAGCCCGTGACAGCTGACTAACTCCCAGGTACCTATTTAATGCTAGGTAACAGAGGCATCAGGGTGAAAGAAACTCTGCCCATTGTTTCTCACCGGCGCCCGAGATCGAACCCGGGACCACAGGATCACGCGTCCAGTGTTCTGTCTGCTCAGCCACCGGCTCCCTCAAGTTAGCTATAAGACAAGGAATGGAACATGTCTGCACATCATTATCTGATGTTAACACGTACTAACTGTAAGCTTGTACACTTCAGGGAGCTCTCCATTTTAGCTTTCATTATATCATAGGAAATCCATGATCTAGGGATCACAATTAAAGGTAATTTAAAAATGTAATCAATTATATACTTGCCATTGAATATTCACTCATATGGGTATCATAATTCAACCATATCACCTGATATTCGAATGTCAACATTATTACTCAATTGGAATCACCACACAAGAAATTGAGAGCAACTACGGCTGACGTCCCCCTGAACATCACACAACGTCCCCCTGAACATCACACAACAACTTAGATGGAAAACACAGTATATGACAACCTTACAGTTCACCACCCGGCTTGGGACAGGCCTAGTCTGGCTGTGACAACCTCTCTCCACAAGAGATCTATGTATCACTGTCTTGCTCTGTGTCTTAAATGTACAGTTCCACGGGTATTTATGAGGGGAACCGGGAATTAAGCTCCGACTACCAGGAGATTAGCCTCTGGCTATCTTTCTACCACACCTATACAGCGGCTTGTTTGATGGGAACAACATAGCCAGCCGTCTGCAATTAACAGCTTAGCAGAAGCGAGGTCACCACACACGACCTGACCTCTTATCACCTGACCTCTACTCACCATGTGAACAAGTATCGAAAGGTGTGACTATAAATTGCTAAGGCCCGACACCCTGGCGCCACCAATATCCTGTGTGACGTGACTCTTTGGTTTATGTAAAATATTAAATAAACCCATTTATGGTGTAACAACAAACACCCCTAGGGTGTGGCTCGCTCTCCTCCCTCCACACCCTAGGGTGTGGCTCGCTCTCCTCCCTCCACACCCTAGGGTGTGGCTCGCTCTCCTCCCTCCACACCCTAGGGTGTGGCTCGCTCTCCTCCCTCCACACCCTAGGGTGTGGCTCGCTCTCTCCTCCCTCCACACCCTAGAGTGTGGCTCGCTCTCTCCTCCCTCCACACCCTAGAGTGTGGCTCGCTCTCTCCTCCCTCCACATCATGGAGTGTGGTTCTGCCTCACCTCACATGAGCCAGCCTCTCTTTCCACTCCTACCTTTAGTAATACGACCCTGAGGCTGGTGTCCCTGCATCGGGCGAGTTCCCGGATGCCTCGCCTTGCCGCCCAACGCCCGCTTGTTCCTGGTTCTGTCCCTCTTCCAACCTTTATAACCAAAATTCGCCCCAAAAGCCTACTTGAGGCACCTTCCTTAGGAACTAAAAACATTGTGAGTGCCGTCTATCTTACCTGGAGAAGGTTTCGAGAGTTTTTCTATTCCCCGAGCCCAGCCTGGGGCCAGGCTCGAGTTGTAATTACTTGGTGCAACAGGCTGTTGCTTGGAGCAGCCCGCAAGCCCATATATCCACCACAGCCCAGTTGATTTGGCACTTTTTGCAAGAACTTGTCTAATTGATTCTTGAAGAAGTCCACCTTTGTTCTGGCAATATTTTGAATGCTTGCTGGGAGAGTATTGAACAGCTGTGGACCTCTGGTATTTACTGCTCTCTGAATGTGCCAATGGCACCTCTACTCTTCATTGGTTGTATTCTGCATTTCCTTCCGTATCTTTCGCTCCAGTATATTTTTATTCAACTCTGTAACTTTGGGACCTGGCCCTCTAGTATCTTCCAAGTATAGTATATCGTGAGAGCTTTGGGACGGTCCCAGTAATTGAGGTGGCTTATCGTGTCTGTGTGCCGTATATGTTCTCTGTACTCCCTCTATTTCAGAAATCGCTCCTGCTCTTAACAGGGGAAGTGAGTACCGAGCCTTACTCAATACGGGACAGCAGCAGTGATTTAAATAGTATTAACATTGCTGTGGGGTCAGTGAATTTGAACGTTCTCATAATCCATCCTATCGTTTTTCTACCTGATGGTATGTTTACTTGGTTATGTTCCGACACGTTAGGTCGTCACGCATGGTAATTCCTAGATCTTTTACATGTTGTTTCTCGTGTATGATTAAGTCTGTCTCTTATACCTCGTGTTTAAGTTCCTTATTTCTGCCATACCTAAGTATATGAAACTTATCACTGTTAAACATCATGTTATTTTTCGTCGCTCAGTCGCCGACTTTATTAATATCGGCTTGTAGTTTTTCAGTGTCTTCTACAGAGAATATTATCATGCCAATTTTTGCATCATATTATTAGATGGGATAAATGACTCCTGAGGCCGGCGAGGTCTGTGTTTAGACGGCGATCGTAACAGTGGGCCTCTGGGAACCTTCTGGGTATGTGGGCTGTGTGTCCAATGGCTATGTGGGCTGTGTGTCCAATGGCTATGTGGGGTGTTGGAAGACCTCTGGCTGTGTGAGCTGTTGGAAGACCTCTGGCTGTGTGGGCTGTTGGAAGACCTCTGGCTGAGTGGGCTGTTGGAAGACCTCTGGCTGTGTGGGCTGTTGGAAGACCTCTGGCTGTGTGGGCTGCTGGAAGACCTCTGACTGTGTGGGGTGTTGGAAGACCTCTGGCTGTGTGAGCTGTTGGAAGACCTCTGGCTGTGTGGGCTGCTGGAAGACCTCTGGCTGTGTGGGCTGCTGGAAGACCTCTGGCTGTGTGGGCTGCTGGAAGACCTCTGGCTGTGTGGGCTGCTGGAAGACCTCTGGCTGTGTGGGCTGTTGGAAGACCTCTGGCTGTGTGGGCTGCTGGAAGACCTCTGGCTGTGTGGGCTGCTGGAAGACCTCTGGCTGTGTGGGCTGCTGGAAGACCTCTGGCTGTGTGGGCTGTTGGAAGACCTCTGGCTGTGTGGGCTGTTGGAAGACCTCTGGCTGTGTGGGCTGCTGGAAGACCTCTGGCTGTGTGGGCTGCTGGAAGACCTCTGGAATCCTATGGTCGTTGACTGATCTCATCCGTATAGCTCTTGAATTTCAAAATGTATACCTTTTGGTCTAGTGCGCTTTCTCATTCCCATACTGGACATGAACAAGGACACAAACTATAGTATAGTATCATCCTTTGCAGATGACACTAGGATTTTTATAAAAGTAGAAACGGCAGAGAATAATTGTAAACATACAATCTGATGTAAATCAGAGAGATTCATCATCAGATAATTGTAAACCTACAATCTGATGTAAATCAGAGAGATTCATCATCAGATAATTGTAAACATACAATCTGATGTAAATCAGAGAGATTCATCATCAGATTTCAGAAATTGAACATCGTGCTGTACAAAACAACACGATGTTCAATGAAAACAAGTTCCAGCTCCTGCGCTATGGCAAGAAGGAATATCGTGGTCTCCGCTGTTTAAGGTGCTGGTTAGTTTCCCAACATCAAGAAAACGGTCAAATAAAAGTGTCCTATCCTAGCCTATCAGAGGCCCCAAAACAGAAAACGGGACAGTACGTCACTTTCGCGAGCCGCTTCCATTTTTCTAGAACGACATCTTTTTGGCCTCATGTAACGCACACGATCGACATGCGATATTATTTGTAAGAGGACAGGTTGAGTTTTGAAGTATACAGCACATCAAATAGCAATGGATAGCACCACTCACGCCAGGATCCCAGACACGAGTACTTGTACTCAGTTCAGCAGGAACCTTCGTAGTACACTGGCGGGGAACCAGATGTTCCCAGATATTCCATTTAACCGCCGGTTACAATGAAAGGTTAAGTGACGTCATACGAGTGAGGGAGCTGCAGGTCTGACAAGTCAACAACGGCTTCCTCTCCTTCACACTCACTCTCTCACAACTTTTTTGACACAAAATATATACAAATACAAGAAAAATACATTTTAGCAACGTAACCTAACACAGGCAAGCATGTACACTAGTAAACAATTCACAAACATCATGTGCCTGAACAATCCAAGAAACATATACAATATAATATCCCAGACATATACATAAATCTATTATTTTACAGACATATTTTTGTGGAATAATATTAATTATTCCACAAAACACAGAACTAAAACAAACAGTAATACATGTGTGACGTTTGCTACTGTTTGGCATGCATCTTCCCATCTTCCAAGAGTCTTCTTCCCTCTGTACATATGTACAAGTATCAAAAATTTACTTGATTACACTTAAAAGGAGGCAAGAAGCCTAAAATTTTAAATTATTTCAGATTTAAGTTTTGGAGTCTAGGAGTCAGAGCCTAAGTCTTTTGTACATATATGGTGGATCACACAGACCCGAGGAGAAATTTTCCAACCGAGATTCGCTCAGAAGCAGCGACACTGAAATTCCCAGATGTAAGAGAGATAATTGGTTACATGTTACCAATGAGGAAGTATGATTAAGGCCGTGACTAATGAGGAAGCGACCTAAGATCGTGTGACGTGTCAGTGGCACCAGAGTAGGCAGTGACGCCTTGGGTAGGCGTCAGTGCACCTTGTACCGTCGAGCCAGGAGGATGTGCTGATTTGCAGTTCCAACAAATTGAGGATTTACCTAAGGTTATAACGTCTTAATTGGATATACTGAAGAATAACCTTCGGAGAGACACCGGAAAGCTTTCTGGGGAAGTTTTGAGGAGGAGATCTGCAGATTTTAGACAAGAGCAATTCGAATTCATTGTGATTATTTATGTGTGCTGGGAGACTGGGCTGAGTGACGGCTTCTCGCAGGATTTCCCCTCCTCTGTGAAGCCGGGCGAGAAAAGGGTGCAGTCCTGGTCATCGTTCAACGGCAGCAGGCAAGCACAGATGAGCAGTGTGGGACACCCAGTGGCAGTACTGCTGCCCAGAACACTTTAGTGACGCATGGAGTCAGCAGGAGTCTGGGACACCTGTAACTCTAGGAACGGCCTGAAGCTGCGAGCAAACTCCAGGTGGGAGGAGTGAGTATGAGGTGAAGAGTGCTGTATAGAGTCACCTGGCCTTCGTGACTCTAGGTGAGGAAGAGTCACCTGGCCTTCGTGACTCTAGGTGAGGAAGAGTCACCTGGCCTTCGTGACTCTAGGTGAGGAAGAGTCACCTGGCCTTCGTGACTCTAGGTGAGGAAGAGTCACCTGGCCTTCGTGACTCTAGGTGAGGAAGAGTCACCTGGCCTTCGTGACTCTAGGTGAGGAAGAGTCACCTGGCCTTCGTGACTCTAGGTGAGGAAGAGTCACCTGGCCTTCGTGACTCTAGGTGAGGAAGAGTCACCTGGCCTTCGTGACTCTAGGTGAGGAAGAGTCACCTGGCCTTCGTGACTCTAGGTGAGGAAGAGTCACCTGGCCTTCGTGACTCTAGGTGAGGAAGAGTCACCTGGCCTTCGTGACTCTAGGTGAGGAAGAGTCACCTGGCCTTCGTGACTCTAGGTGAGGAAGAGTCACCTGGCCTTCGTGACTCTAGGTGAGGAAGAGTCACCTGGCCTTCGTGACTCTAGGTGAGGAAGAGTCACCTGGCCTTCGTGACTCTAGGTGAGGAAGAGTCACCTGGCCTTCGTGACTCTAGGTGAGGAAGAGTCACCTGGCCTTCGTGACTCTAGGTGAGGAAGAGTCACCTGGCCTTCGTGACTCTAGGTGAGGAAGAGTCACCTGGCCTTCGTGACTCTAGGTGAGGAAGAGTCACCTGGCCTTCGTGACTCTAGGTGAGGAAGAGTCACCTGGCCTTCGTGACTCTAGGTGAGGAAGAGTCACCTGGCCTTCGTGACTCTAGGTGAGGAAGAGTCACCTGGCCTTCGTGACTCTAGGTGAGGAAGAGTCACCTGGCCTTCGTGACTCTAGGTGAGGAAGAGTCACCTGGCCTTCGTGACTCTAGGTGAGGAAGAGTCACCTGGCCTTCGTGACTCTAGGTGAGGAAGAGTCACCTGGCCTTCGTGACTCTAGGTGAGGAAGAGTCACCTGGCCTTCGTGACTCTAGGTGAGGAAGAGTCACCTGGCCTTCGTGACTCTAGGTGAGGAAGAGTCACCTGGCCTTCGTGACTCTAGGTGAGGAAGAGTCACCTGGCCTTCGTGACTCTAGGTGAGGAAGAGTCACCTGGCCTTCGTGACTCTAGGTGAGGAAGAGTCACCTGGCCTTCGTGACTCTAGGTGAGGAAGAGTCACCTGGCCTTCGTGACTCTAGGTGAGGAAGAGTCACCTGGCCTTCGTGACTCTAGGTGAGGAAGAGTCACCTGGCCTTCGTGACTCTAGGTGAGGAAGAGTCACCTGGCCTTCGTGACTCTAGGTGAGGAAGAGTCACCTGGCCTTCGTGACTCTAGGTGAGGAAGAGTCACCTGGCCTTCGTGACTCTAGGTGAGGAAGAGTCACCTGGCCTTCGTGACTCTAGGTGAGGAAGAGTCACCTGGCCTTCGTGACTCTAGGTGAGGAAGAGTCACCTGGCCTTCGTGACTCTAGGTGAGGAAATCACCTGGCCTTCGTGACTCTAGGTGAGGAAGTCACGAAGTTAGTGATGTGAGGAGTGAGGACGTTGTGATGTACTCGCCTATTTGTGCTAGTGGGGGATGAGCTCTGACTCTTTGGTCCCGCCTGTCAATCAACAGGTGTACAAATTCCAGAGCCTATTGGGCTCTATCATATCTACACTTGACACTGTGTATGGAGTCAGCCTCCACCACATCACTGCCTAATGCATTCAACCTGTTAACTACTCTGACACAAAAAAAAGTTCTTTCGAATATCTCTGTGGCTCATTTGGGCACTCAGTTTCCACCTGTGTCCCCTAGTGTGTGTGCCTCTTATGTTAAATACCCTGTCTTTATCAACTCTATCAATTCCTTTGAGAATCTTGAATGTGGTGATCATATCCCCCCCTAACTCTTCTGTCTTCCAACGAAGTGAGGTTTAATTCCCGTAGCCTCTCTTCGTAGCTCATACCTCTCAGCTCGGGTACTAGTCTGGTGGCAAACCTTTGAACCTTTTCCAGTTTGGTCTTATCCTTGACTAGATATGGACTCCATGCTGGGGCTGCATACTCCAGAATTGGCCCGACATGTGTAGTATACAAAGTTCTGAATTATTCCTTACACAAGTTTCTGAATGCCATTCTTATGTTGGCCAGCCTGGCATATGCCGCTGATGTTATCCTCTTGATATGGGCTGCAGGGGATAGGTCTGGCGTGATATCAACCCCCCAAGTCTGTCTGTCTCTGACTCTTGAAGAATTTCATCTTCCAAATAATACCTTGTATCTGGCCTCCAGCTCCCAACACCTATCTTCATTACATTACATTTGCTTGGGTTAAACTCTAAACCATTTGTTCCACCATTCCTTCAATTTGTCTAGGTCTTCTTGAAGCCTTAAGCAGTCCTCCTCTGTCTTAATCCTTCTCACAATTTTGGCATCGTCAGCAAAACATTGAGAGAAATGAGTCTATACCCTCCGGGAGATCATTTACGTATATCAGAAACAGGATAGGACAGAATACAGAGCACTTTAGGACTCCACTGGTGACTTCACGCCAATCTGAGGTCTCACCAATCACTGTAACTCTCTGCTTCCTATTGGTTAGGTACTCCCTTATCCACTGGAGCACCTTACCAGCTATACTTGCCTGTCTCTCCAGCTTATGTACCAGCCTCTTATGCGGTACTGTGTCAAAGGCTTTCCGACAATCCAAGAAAATTCAGTCCGCCCAGCCTTCTCTTTCTTGCTTAATCTTTGTCAACTGGTCGTAGAATTCTATTAAGCCCGTAAGGCAAGATTTACCCTCCCTGAACCCATGTTGGCGATTTGTCACGAAATCCCTTCTCTCCAGATGTGTTACTAGATTTTTTCTAACTATCTTCTCCATCACCTTGCATGTTATACAAGTCAAGGACACTGGCCTGTAGTTCAGTGCCTCTTGTCTGTCACCCTTATTGTATATTGAGACCACATTCGCCGTCTTCCATATTTCTGGTAGGTCTCCCGTCTCCAGTGACTTACTATACACTATGGAGAGTGGCAAGCAAAGTTCCTCTGCACG